TTTGAGAGGGAAGGACTGCATTCTTTTCTGCGAAGAGAACAAGTGTGATAAGATGTCTGGACGAGGAAAGGGTGGTAAAGGACTCGGCAAAGGGCGCGCTAAGCGTCACCGCAAAGTCCTTCGCGACAACATCCAGGGTATTACCAAGCCCGCTATCCGTCGTTTAGCTCGCCGTGGCGGCGTCAAGCGTATCTCTGGTCTGATCTACGAGGAGACTCGTGGTGTGCTGAAGGTGTTTCTGGAGAACGTCATCCGCGATGCTGTGACCTACACTGAGCACGCCAAGAGGAAGACTGTCACCGCCATGGACGTGGTCTATGCTCTGAAGCGTCAGGGTCGCACCCTGTACGGATTCGGCGGCTAAACGTTCCTGCTTTTTCAAATAAATCCAAAGGCTCTTTTAAGAGCCGCCCACTTAATCTCTAAAGAGCTTCTGTCCCATTATGCTGTTGTATATGGTCTTTGTCTAGAACGCGGATGACAGCGCAGTATCAAGCAATGGTGTGTTGCTACGAACTTTTCACGCATGTCTTTAGTCGACGTTAGTACTTGTATATTTGTTAATTTTGTTTAGAAGCGTTTGATAGGTTGAAGCTTTAAGTGTTTAGAAGCGAACCTGTGTGGAGTAGATTAACCAGGCAAAACTGATACAATAATTTGTCACGGTAACAAGCAGCACAAGGACCAGTTGAATAAACATTATTTACAGTACTAGTTTTTGCACACTGACCTTCTACTTTTGCACATCAGTCACTTAACATCTGTAGAATATTTGAGGTATTTTTTTTACAAGGAACATTAGAATGTGATAAAATGGTTGAGTGCATTTAAGACAGCCTTAAATTTGCCATCAACGCACAACCACTTAATAGGATGTCAGACATGCACTGTTACATACTCTTTCTATGTTATATTGGAAACTTGTTTTATTTGGCTTATATTTCGTTTATAGTACTATAGCACTCGACTTTCCAATGCTTAACAAGAATTAAAAAAATCAACAGTTTATGAAATAAATGGGAAAGTGATAAATACCTGTGATGTGCAAAAAAACTTTGACTGGTGGTGTGTTTAGCAAACAATTTTTGTCTGATAGTGACAATTGTCAGTGAGTACAGAGTTACTAGTAGGAAGAAGAGAGAATCTAATGGGTGTGGAGACCAAATTTAGAGAAGTCTGGTCCCCCTATGAAATTCCAGAGCTGAGGGTTGCTGTTAATGCGTCAGGCCAAATTCACTGTAATTGTGGCTATTTACTGCAAATGTGACTTGGAGAAATGTGTTCCAACTGCACGGCCAAATTGTAATGTTTTGTGATGGAGGGAACTGCTCCTAGTTTGCAAGCAGAGCCCAAGCAGCTCTGCTGGCTGCCAGGAGGAAGGAAACTGGGAACCATTAAAGAACATCCTTATGGAGGAGACTGGAGACGGGTTTAACTTCTGTTTCCTTTAACTGATTTCACTCTGTGCTCATGTATAATATATGAATGTCTGCAAAAGTATGTAGGTGTCACAATAGCAACCATTACTTGTGTAGGGGGATATCTACTCTCCAAAATTCACGTAAGTTATACATTTTTATCCCTCGGTATGTTTTTCTTTCGCATTTGTTGGGCAATTGTATAAAATATGTGAACAGATGAAGCCCCCGTGCAGAAGATTGTAGGAGAATAGGATGGGAAATCAGTTAGAAAACAGGTAGGTGTCTGGGAGGCTCTGGGTAAGGGGGGACACATTGAGGGACCCCATGCGCATGGACATGGAGTAAAATGGAACCTTTCTTACATAGAGGTGTCAGAGTTTTACTTTGTTCATCCAAAGTGTTTGACTTTACACATAAGACAACTATTAAAAAGAACAAAGTGCAACAGTAAGAGTGTTCAATGACAAGTCAAAGTGACCCTTTAGCTGAATGAAGGAAATTACTGCCTGTGTGCAGCCTAGTAATCTGTTAGAGGTGGGAAACAGACAAGGCCAATGCAATTAATGAGTTCAACAAATATGACACCTGCGTAGAGGACATGGAGGTAGTAAAATCATACAAATATCTATGGATCCACATAAATACCAGCAGGGATTAGATGGACAACACAGATGTCCTATAGAACAGTTTACAGCAGGTTGAATGTGTGGGAAGCCGCTGGGATGATCTTTCGATCCAATCAACGTTAATTAATTTACTATGCTGTGATGTTTTTAGAAATCAAGATTATGAAAGAAATACACTGAATGTTCAGTGAAAACTCATTGGTTGGTATGTTGCTCCAAAACACATGGTTTATTCAGACATTACAATCAAATAAAATGCGAGAATAGTTTAAATCACTATTCTTTAATACAGAGATGCCAGTAACTGGAGGTGACAGACTGGAAAATGTTGACTAATATGCTGTCGGTGATAAATCTTATTCGAGAAGAATAATCCACGTAATGGAATATCCCTTAAAAGTAACATTGGCTTAATACAATACATTAAAATCATATGTATTTAAATCAGTATGTTTATATTCCTCAAATACACTTGTAGATGTTTAAATTCACAAACAAGTGGCTAAAATGACATTTTCTATTTAAAAAGGGAGCTCAGAAACTGAAAGAATACAGCATACTCGCTCACTGAAAAGAGGCGGTCCACTATTTTCGAGAACAGCGGGTTTCAATCAGGTCGTCTCCACGTATATAATAGCACATCCTCCCCGGCTTCAAGTTGTCTTGTGGTGTGAAAGCAAAGTAGAAACTGTACGATGTCTGGACGAGGAAAGGGTGGTAAAGGACTCGGCAAAGGGGGCGCTAAGCGTCACCGTAAAGTCCTTCGCGACAACATCCAGGGTATTACCAAGCCCGCTATCCGTCGTTTGGCTCGCCGTGGCGGCGTCAAGCGTATCTCGGGTCTGATCTACGAGGAGACTCGTGGTGTGCTGAAGGTGTTTCTGGAGAACGTCATCCGCGATGCTGTGACCTACACCGAGCACGCCAAGAGGAAGACTGTCACCGCCATGGATGTGGTCTATGCTCTGAAGCGTCAGGGTCGCACCCTGTACGGATTCGGCGGCTAAACGTTCCTGCTTCCTTAAATAAATCCAAAGGCTCTTTTAAGAGCCGCCCACTTCATCTCTAAAGAGCTTCTGTCCCATTGTGTCCGTCATAATCACTGCATTTCATTTATGTGTAACTGACATTTTTCAAATAAACTTAAGCTTTTGGGAAGAACCCCCTTTGCGTTTAAAGGAGCTTTTATTCCACTATATTGATTTACATGATTCCAAAATGAAACTTAATGAAACAATGGTGCAGTCCCGCGAGAAACGTATAATTTGATACTAGCAAGTTCACCTTCTTGCGGCTGGGTTTCAAACCAACGTCTGATGTGTATTTCCTTGCTGTATTGCTGGGATGTATATGTAACGTTAGGATTATCCGTAATGGGAAGTTGTGAAAAGTACTTTGTGATACTATGTGGCCAGACCGAATTGACTAAAGCCCAATCACGTCTAAAAATCGGCCAATCTACAAAAAACTGCCCAAACAACTAAGACTTGGTCACAGATGTGCGTCTGGTTCTGTGCATTTTAAATGCACCTACCTCGTTTTCTAATATGAGACAGATCGTCTACTACATTAAATGATGTGTGATAGATAACATAGATTGCGACTGTAAGTTCTTTTCGTTTTTGGTTGTCTTTGTGACATCTTTACACTAGGCATGTAGTAGGGTTGCCAGGTTTAGTCCGCTGGTTGGCGTGAGATTTAAAATTCGACCCCATTCTGCACATAGATTTACAAGGATTTCGTATACTATGTTTGCAAACTACCCCAACGCTTTTGATGTAGCTTTTTTAAGGTTTATATTGCAACAATATAGATTTGCTGTAAGATCTCTTCCGTGAGAGTTGGCAACCCTGATGTAACGAGACACATGTTTCTTTTTGGTTGCATGCGCTTTTAAGTTATTGAGTGGAGCTCCAATTTCAATGTTAGAATATTTACAACGTGCTTTACACCAATCATTGGTGACAGGGGCGATCCACATTTTTATTTCTGGGTCTGTTTCCTATTCCTTTCGGTACTGCTTTGGCATGCTTTATAGTTGTTTATACTGTCTTAACTTCCTTCTACGAGATCCAGGAGACTAATGAAAATATCAGTGAAACACTTCTCTCCAATTGTTTTTATAAAAAATAAAACCCGCCCGATATACGCTAAAAGCAGCCCAAAATTTAACTACCCGCCCAAATCAAATTTTACCCGCCAAAGGAAATCAAAAGAATCCAAATTGGGCGGGAACCCGCCTAATCTGGCAAAACTGTATGTATGTGAGGGAGAGACACCAGGCAACTTTTAATGGTGCTTTAAGTAGTGAAAATGATTGCACTGGAACATGGTTATGCAACGCGAGGAAAAAATAAACTAATATATCGGTAACAAATTACAGCGTGAAATAGCATTTGACGAAATTTGGACCTAAATGTAAATCTAGAAACATGGTATACACCGGATTCTCAATTACCGCTTCTATTTTTGCGTATTCCTTTTGAGTTTAAAACGTTGATGTCCGTCACAAAAGGTCCGCAATGTGACTGATCTTTTGTTCAGACCATGTCTTGAGGCGTTGGAGCAATTTGGACCAATAGAATTTCAATGCAAATTTGGCGGGCTATGAACATCCAATGAAATTATACCCACCTCTAACACGACATTTGCAAATCGTTCCTATATAAGGAGGACGTAGGACAAACACACCATTACTCGTGTTTGTGATATTGTCGGAAGATGCCTGAACCAGCAAAGTCTGCTCCCAAGAAGGGCTCCAAGAAAGCGGTTACCAAGACCGCTGGAAAAGGAGGAAAGAAGCGTAAGAGGACCAGGAAGGAGAGCTATGCCATCTATGTGTACAAGGTGCTGAAGCAGGTCCACCCCGACACCGGTATTTCTTCTAAGGCTATGGGCATCATGAACTCCTTCGTGAACGATATCTTCGAGCGCATCGCCGGAGAGGCTTCCCGCCTGGCCCACTACAACAAGAGATCAACCATCACCTCCAGGGAGATCCAGACTGCCGTGCGCCTCCTGCTCCCCGGTGAGCTGGCCAAGCACGCCGTGTCTGAGGGCACCAAGGCTGTCACCAAGTACACCAGCTCCAAGTAAAGCGGTTGTCGACGCTAACCCCCAAAAGGCTCTTTTAAGAGCCACCCACTCACTCGGAAAAGGCAAATCCCCGGTACTATATAAGCGCGTGTGCTTCATAAGCGCACAAATGGAAAGATTATAGGGCTGAGTCAATTCAGATTATAAAAGCGAAAAATCAATGGCGTCGGTTCCAGGCGGCAGTTTCTGTATTGTGAATATTTCTATGAGCAAAGCATGGATGCCATGCGACCTTAATGACAAACATATTTTCTATGCAGTATGTTTCCTTTATATTGCATACCTGGTACAAAACTGAGCAGTAGGCTGGCATTCTCGCAACCTATATTACATGTACAGTTGTACGTCCTAGATTCTGAGCCGGTGTGTTTTGTAACATGGTGGTCTAGCAAAATACTACTGATAAAATGAGGGATAAAAAT